GCCCCCAGCCGCCCCCCCCGCCACTCGGTCACCATAGCAACCGGAGACACACACATCAGCCTGCAGCAACAAGGGGAGAGGAGTTCCTGGTACAGTTCTTTTATGTGTTTGCTTTCCTTACCGCTTCCCGTGCCTGATGCGTGACTTTTATGGTCTGGTAAGAAAGCTCCATCAGACACTGTGTGAGGCCCGAAGAGAAGGAGCCACTTGCTGATCAACGGGTAAGTAAATCCAAGAAAGACAGCTCGTAGAAATCGGACGCTTAACCCGCCTGCCCCTTACAGGATTGGCCAGAGCCTAGACAGGTCAGCCAATCACCGGGCACAGACGGATTCTTTATCATGCCAATCAATGTTAAAATTAACATGTCTAATTCAGAGTGTTTGCATGGCTCTGACCAATCAAGAGATCGAGAGGGGATGATTGGCAGGGCTTGGGGCGGGTGTGTGTGTGTGTGTGTGTGTGTGTGTGTGTGTGTGTGTGCCCGCAATTGGTTTGGGTCTCTTAATTCTGTCTCTAAAATGCAAGTTAACTCAAGTTTATTTACCATAGAATTTGTCCTTGATTTGGGCGATTGTTCAGGCTTTTGTGATCCACTGCTTATGTTCTCAAAAGACTATACTTATGACATCTCTTCTTCTCTAGGACCCCCTTTCCCTCCCCATTAAGATCAAGGTTTGAAATTTCCTGCTTTACTTTGAAATTGCCTGTATGTATGTGGTCCATTTAGGCTGAAAAAAATCTGCTGTGGACTCATGTTTTAAATCCGATGTAAAAATGGGCAGAGGACTTGAATACACATAGAAATGGCCAACAGGTACATGAAAAAGTATTCAGTATCACTAATCATCAGGGAAATGCAAATGAAAGCCACAATGAGATTTCACTTCACACCTTTTAGAATGGATATTGCCAAAAAGACAAGAGAAAGCAAGTGTTGACAAGAATGTGCAGAAAAGGGAACCCTTGTGCACTATTGGTGAGGATGTAAATTGGTTCAGCTACTGTGGAAGTTTCTCAAAAAATTAAAAATGGAACTACCATAAGATCCTGCAATTGCACTTCTGGATATATATATCAGAAGGAAGTGAAGTCATTATATTTTGAAGAGGTTTCTGCATCCCATGTTCATAGCAGCATTATTTATAATAGCCAAGACATGGAAACAACTTAACAGTCCAAATGGTTATAGAAATACATATTTAAAGTGTCCAAAGGGAAAAAAACCAACCTCTCAACTTAGAATTCTATATCCAGTGAAAATATTGTTCAGAAATTAAGGTGATTTTGAAAGGGTGACTGCCAGGAGCTGGGAGGTCAGAAAGGAGGCTACAGAAGTAGTCTAGATCAGAAAAAATAGGACAGGAACGGAGACTAAGGAAAAGACTCTAAGAGGAGATCTTTGGAGACCACATGACCACTGAGTTACTCCTACAGTTAGTTTTCTAGAACATAGAACTTATTACACTACTGCCTACAAAATCCTCTGTGGTGGCCCAGAGCATCCAAACCCCCATCTTGACGTGTATATCCCTTCCAATATCATCTTACCCTGCTTTGAAATTAGTTTTAATTAAAGCCAACATTTTTTTCTAGTTTCAATAGGTTTGATGAAAAAAACAAAAGCAAATATATATATATATATACATATATATATATGTATATATATATGAATATTATACAGTTATTTTTTAAAAAAAGAAATCTTGCCCTAACTGGTTTGGCTCAGAGGATAGAGTGTCACCCTATGGACTGAAAGGTCCTGGATTCGATTCCAGTCAAGGACACATACGTACCTCAGTTACAGGCTCGACCCCTGGTGCCAGTCTGGCACCAGTGGGAGGCAACCAATCAATGTGTCTCTCTCACATTGATGTTTCTCTCTTTCTCTGTTCCTCCCTTCCACTCTCTCTAAAAAAATCTATGCAAAATATCCTTGGGTGAGTATTAACAACATACACACACACACACAAATTCCCTATTCTTTCCTCCCCCCAAACCATGGCAGCCATGAATTTGACTAGGTACCGCATATAGGTGGAATTATATAGTAATCATCTTTTTGGGACTGGTTTATTTATGTTAGTATAATGTTTTCAAAGTTCATTCATGTGTAGCATGTGACAGAACTCTCTTTCTTTTTAGGCTGAATAATATTCCATTTGTATGGAATATATAGCATATTTTGTTATTCATTTATCTGTCAATGGTCATTGAGATTATGTCTTAATCAGTTTGGACAACTAAAATAACAGACTGGGTGACTTAAACAACAAATATTTATTTCTCACAATTCTGGAGGCTGGGAAGTCCAAGATAAGTTGTCAGCAGACTTGGTGTCTGTTGAGAACCTTCTTCTTGGTTTTCGGATGGCCACCTTCTTGTATGTTTACTAGTGGGAATCGGGAGCGCTGGGCTCTTCATCTTAATACCATGATAGGCCTCCACTGTCACGTCCTCAGCTAAACCATGACCTCCCGAGGGCCCTCCCTCCAAATACCATCACAATGGAGATTAGGGCTTCAACACATGGCTTTTGAGGAGACACAGACATTCAGTCCATAGCAGGTTAGCTATTGTGAATAATGCTGCTATGAACATGGCTGTACAAGACCTTGCTTTCAATTCTTTGGGGTATATACCCAGAAATGGATTAAGCCAGAGCTACATATGAGAACATGGACAAATCCTAAAAACAATGTTAAATGAAAAAATGAAGTTGAAAAAAATTTATATACCCTTTATACACATTTTTTAAAAATATAAAACAATGCTGTATTTATAGATATATACATGCACATATAATTCATATATGTAATATTTTTAAATATTACATATATGGATTACATATGTGTGTGTGTGTGTGTGTGTGTGTGAGAGAGAGAGAGAGAGAGAGAGAGAGAGAGAGGGAGAGAGAGAAATGCAAAAGCACATGTGAATGATAAATATCAAAACCAGGACAGGGGTACTTCTGAGAAGAAAGAAATGTCATCTGTGGGCCATTCTGGAGGATTTCATTACATTTTAAAGTTTTCTTTCTAAAAAAAAAATCTGAAGCGAATATGGCAAAATATTAAGATAGAATTGGAAGTTGGATATACCAATTTATTATTCTCTATATTTGTATGCTTGAAAGATTTCATAATAAAACACACGATACATTCTTCACTCCTTCACTGCTGCTGCCATCATCATCCTGGCTGACTGCAGTAGTCCCTGGTTTCATTTCCTTGCTTTCTTTTTTTAAAAAATATATTTTATTGATTTTTTAGAGAGAGGAAGGGAGAGGGATAGAGAGCTAGAAACATCAATCAGCTGCCTCCTGCACGCCCCCTACTGGGGATGTGCCCGCAACCAAGGTACATGCCCTTGACCAGAATCGAACCTGGGACCCTTCAGTCTGCAGGCCGACACTCTATCCACTGAACCAAACCAGTCAGGGCCTCGTTTTCTATCTTGTTCCACTACCACCATTCTCCATATAACAGTAGAATAAAATGTTATTAATATAAGTCTGATCTCACCATGCCCCTTCTCAAAACCTTTCAATGGGTTTACATCACTCTAAAAATAAAAAAAATCAAACTTCTTATCACAGTCCCCAGGCCCTGTTTTATTGTACAATTTAGCCCTTATTCTTCCCCACCATCATTATTTGTCTCCTCAAACTGATTTGTTCTCCTTTTGGAACTTCTTACTACCCCAATTTATATTAATTCACGGTGTATGGATAGTTATTCCTGCAGTCCCCAGCCCTCATGAGAATATAAGTTTCATCAAGGCAGAAATTTTGTTTTCTACTATATCCCTATTGCCAAGAACATTGTTTGACTCATATTAAGTGTGAAATAAATATTTTCTGGATCAATGAATAAGTGAATGATTGCATTTTCATTCAAAAAGGGGAGGAATAACATTTCAGTGGTAAAAAAAAAAAGGTGTAATAAAATGTATGGAGGTTGAAAATTACACAGTACTTTATCAACAGTAACAATAGCTAAGACACACTAAGTGCTCATTATGTCTAAGCATTTCTAAGCACATAGTTTTGGCGGGGGGCGGGGGGATGTCAGCCTTGCTCTCCTCCTAGGCCCTGCAGACCTATGTGTCCTGGGAGCCTCCCGCTAGCCTTAACTGGTTGGATCTGGATGGCATGCTGGCTGAGAAAAGCCTGTTAGCCAGGGGGAGGCAATCATTCTTTTTCTTGAAAATTTGTGCTGAGAGACATGCAGGCTAAGGAAGTTTGAAGATGAGTCATGCTAATGGCAGGACATTTTTGAGTGAAGGGAACAGCTGCAGAGGTCCTTGAAGCTGCACTGCTATCTGCCCTTTCTGGACCTTGTTGTTCAATGTTCCTTGGTTTAATGATGACAGTTACCAGCTTTCCTTCTGGTAAAATCCACTCTCTTGATTTTTTAAAACGAATATGGATAGGTTTGTCTTGTTGATTATTCATTCTCCTAGAAATACAAAAAGCAAACAATCTCTTAATCAAGGAAACTTGACTGAGATAGTTTTTCCTTTGCAACACTATGAGAGCATATTACTGTTTCCACTTTACAGATGAGGAGACAGGGCCTGAACGGGTCCAATACCTTTCCTAAAGTTGTAGAGCAGGAAAGATGCCAATCCTGGCCTGGGTGGCTTTCCTTGCTTTCTATCTTTCCTTCCTTTCAGAGGGGCTCTGAACTGCTATGTGTGGCTGTAGGAAGGGCAGCAAGAGGGCTGTTGTTGAGATGAAGTAAGGAAGACAGGGCAAACGTTTTGGTACCATTTCAGGTAAATTAGAAAATGACACTGATAACAGAGATGGGGCAGAAACCAGATTTCACTTACTTTTGGATAAACTCCCATAAGGGCTCTTCATTCTTCCATATCAACAATTGTTGGCAGAGAGAGATTTATACCTACACGGAATGTCTATATGATTAAAACTTTTTCTCTTTCCATTGACAGAGCTGACAGTTTTTAAAGAATTACAAGATACATTTTTAGTAACATAAAAAAGGGAGTTTGAACAATATATATTTAGAGATGACTTATCGTTGACTGTCACAGGGTTGGCAGCTAGGCAAGTACATTTCTTGTCATTTTTGAAAACTCCCCCCTCATTCTTGCATGCCTAGAACAGGTGTGCTGAAGATGGTGTGACATTTGCTAGTAAGTGAGGTT